AACTAATTCATTTGAGCGCCGTGTTTGCTGGTTTTTTTGTCCCAGCTAGACTCTTAGTTAATTCGATTCGATTATTCCTGATTAAATTTCGACCGATATTTATCTTGGCATTTCTTACTATTGATATTTCTTTATGTTTCTGGTTTTATAGTGACAAAAAGATAATAAAAAAAATATTGAAATTCAAATTATCATAATAAATTACTTTATGGAGTATATTACTTGATCTTTAAATTGCATTATATATTTTAGAAACTGTCACGTTAATTTGAACTAATTAAAGTGAATGGAGAATGTTGAAGAAAATGAATGAATCCCGTTTTAAAAAGCAGTGGCTTAAAATGAAAGACACCACTTTGCTATATTGCTTATCCAATCATAATTTCAAGTCCTTGATTTCCGTAGATATGTAATTAAATATAATATTTATTTTATATATCAATAATAAAATGAAATTATATTTAATCGGATTATAACATCATCCAGGAATAATATGAAATTTCCATTTAAATTCTGCGAAAAACTCATTCCTAAGGACCTCGTGGCGCAACGGTAGCGCGTCTGACTCCAGATCAGAAGGCTGCGTGTTCGAATCACGTCGGGGTCACTACCAATTTTTCCAGTTTAAATGTGTGCCATTTAAAGATGGTATAGAGCAAAGATTCATAATACCGAAAACAAGAACCACCTGACGGATCAAGTGCAGTCGGTCTAATGAATAAATACACATACAGTCTTGATAGTGAGTAATGGAATTTGGTTTGTCTGTTTATATAATCAATGTTTATTGGGCTGTTGTCCTTAAAGGTAATAGCTTCATCATCTTTGAATAGGGTGTGTTTGAATAGGATCAGTTATGGAAGATGAATGGATCAATAGGCAGATGGATGGATGAAAAAATGAGGGCACATATCCAAGGAGGAACAGACCATCAAATGAATGCACCCAGACCTGTGGTGTGCAGGAAAACACAAGATGTATAATTACATTTGGTAACAATAAATATCAAAAGTAGGCAACCCTGATTCTGGAGAACAGGTGTTATGCCGAAAAAGGCATCCCTGCCGTAGAATGCATGCCTGTCTCTAAATGCGTGATTGGTCGCTGATCTGAAACGAGCTGAGCTACTTTGTCGAGTAAGGCTAGCGTAGTGCTAATCAATAGCCCCAAAAAACCCGTAAAACTCTAACCCTAACCCCAAAAAAACCTCTAAAACCCTAACCCCCAAAACACCCCTAATACCCTAACCCTATCCCATAAAAAAACCCCTAACCCCTAAAAAAAACCCTGACCCCTAAAAAAACCCTTAAAAGCTCAACTGGTCGGAACACCGGCATGCATTCTAAGGCAGGGATGCGTTTTTCGGCATAACACCTGTTTCCAGCAGATTTTTCATCCTACCCGCTTTCTGATGAACCACACCTGTTCTCAGGCGGACAGTAACTCACCGGGCAGGACAGAAAAGCTGCCGGATACCAGCACTTCAGGATCAGGGGTGCACCTGTGGCCTGTACTACGAAGCGGGTTTACTGGCTCATCGGGGTAACTTTGTGAGTAACTTGATGACGTGTGATGTAACTTCGCGACGTACTACGAAAGGTGGGTAGGTTTTAGTCGAGGCATGCTGCCATGGCAATTTACGCTAAGTCTCAAAACTGCTCCGAGCAGTTTTTGTTTTTCGTTAAGTCGAGGTTTCTGCGAAAGCCAGCCCTATATTCTGCCTGTGTCATCTTCCTTGTATGACCCGCTCCCTGACTTCTGGCTGCCTGGCGATTGGAGGGAGTGGTGGCACCGGCTTGTCATCTCCCCCCTGCTCCCCGTTTGGTTTCAGAATTAACTGTATTTGACTCTCCCTGCCGGCCCCTGGAGGATGGGCTCCCCCTTTGAGTCTGGTCCCTCCCAAGGTTTCTTCCTTCTGGGTAGTTTTTCCTTGCCACTGTCGCCTATGGCTTACTCACTGGGGGCTTTGGGTGGGGATGCTGTAAAGCGCTTTGGGACAATGTAATGTTGTGATAATGCGCTATACAAAAATAAATTTGTTGTTGTTGTATATGAGCACCGCCCCTCCAACTACAATTGTGTAACTGGAGGATCCGTACGACATTGGCGCGCGAATCGTGAGGGGCTCTCTCTGTTAATATGTATGAAATGGAGCAATGGCATATAATATGCATACAATGTATTAATTAATAAATGTTACAGAGAAAGTTATTCTGAAAACCCAAGGGGTGTGCATTGTTCCCTGTTGTCCACTGATCAAAGCACACTTCACTAGATGTGCCTGTCTTGTCTAGTTTTAAAGTTATTAACTCATTCATGTATACGGATACATTCGAACATTCAAAAATTAATTAAAATTCGTACGTAATGTAATATGGGAAACAAAGGGATGTGCAACAGTTGCCATGAGCTCAAAATACTAAACCACCATGTCTTTACAGCTGAAATATTAGCCCTAACATGATTTGGCACAAATCACGAAATGTTTTGAAGCGGAAAAATAATCGGTGTACATCGATGTCTGGGTACTGGACATCACAATTATGTCATTAAAAACGCCCCACCTTACTTCCGTAAAGTTATTAAAACCAGAAAACTTAATATATGGAATATGAGGCTAACTTAACCGCGGTGACAGCTAGGTTCCTAGTCGTTTTCTCACTACACAGATGCTTCTGTTTTGTCCTGTTGTAAATCATTTAATTGTTTGTTAAACAATGCCTCACCTTATATTATAGTTTTTATTATTTATTATTAGCTGTAAAACATAGAAACACGCTATTAAGTGGAGGCTAGACACAACAAATCTTTCATAATGAGTAGAAATATAAATAGCCTACATAGTCCTACCACTTGACATGATGTTTTTATATTTCATCTTGACTTGCTGCCACGCACGCTTTCCACTACTATTGCATTTGAAATCGGATCAGTTATTGTTAACATTAGGTTTACATTATGAGTAACATTACAGTAATGAAACTTCAGGGAGCATTACATTACTTAGCAGCATATAATAGGTGACTTCTGAATTGTGTCGCATGTGTTAGCCTCTGTAATTATTAACAGTAAAGTGGTACCTCAGTTCTCGAACTCATTAGAACTCAAATTTCTTAAAAGTCGAACCAACCATTTTGAGAAAAAAGAAAATTACCTAGAACTCAATCTGAATCTCAGAAGTCAAACCGTGAACGCCAACCTACAATAATTTGTACGCGCGGGGAAATGAGTCACGCAGCATGTCTCTCAACAGAAACAAAGGGTAACGCTTCAGTCTCAGCCTCGCATTTGCATCGTGCATGTTTACACTAGCTGAATACATATTTAGACAGTAAAAATACATTTAGACAATGATATACAGTAACAGTAATTATTTAAAAATAAAATACATTTTAAAATAAAGATTTCTTAATAATAAACCATTAATTATAATAATATTGTGGTGCCCAGCAGGAACGGGAACAGAGACAAAGGCGCAGATGTCAGGGTATCGGGGAATACAGGGTTTAATTACAGGTAAGGCAGGCAAAAGCAGACGGACAATACAATGACTGGACTGGGGAAACAAACTGAAACGCGGACTAAATACAGAGGACTAATGAAAACAACCAGAAACAGCTGATCACACGGGGATTCCAAACGAGGTTAACGAGGGGGCGTGGCACGCGGAAGGAGCGGACGATCGGGGCAGGACACATTGATTGGATACATTTATTTTCTTACTTTACAAATTACTGGTTTTGATAAATATGCTTAGATGTGTTTAGTACAGTATATATGATGTTCTTGTTTTATCCGGTTCATTTTGTGTTTAAATGCTAAAAAAGCATATTTAGGTGTAATGTTTTGGGGCCGGGAACCAATTAATTGGTTTTCCATTATTTCTTATGGGGAAAATTCGATCAGAACTCGAACTTTTTAGGATTCGATCCGGAGTTCTGAACGGATTTCCCCATAAGAAATAATTAGCCTTTCAATGCCCTTGTTTAAACTCCTCATAACCCTGCATAATTAGCATGCAGTCTTCCTCCGTGAAACGGAGATCGCGCCATGAGTCAAACGGGGTTAGTGGCTTATCGGGGTAACTTGTCGGATTTAAGGTAGTCTGGGCAAAATGTAAGTAAACGAATATTAAGTCCATTTAAACTGTGGTACCCCCTGTGTGTTAAATCCGACAAGTTACCCCGATAAGCCAGTAACCCCGCTTCGTAGTACAGGCCAATGATGTACATCAACACGCTTTACATCTGTAATTTCTGGGATAGGTCCTCGGCACAGGACAACATGCTAAAATTTAATGAATCAACACCATATCTTTAGATAAGTCAATGATACTATTTCTCAAACAACATTTTGACTTGAAAGAAATGTACACATCTAAATATTTCACCTGAGCAATGCAGGTGCATTGTTTATTTTTGTAGACCTTAAACAAACAAAAAAACCCAAACAATTACAAAAGGAAAAAAAACCATAAAGCAAAATGATTGCAAAGGTGAGAACATTTACAAAATATATATTAAAAGTAAAAAAAATGGGCCTTAGTCCTAGTATAAGAAATTAGGTTGCTTAGACGGTGACTCAAATAGATTTTCGAAATTTTTCACATTCCTTCTGGGAGTTCCCCCCCCTAACACTAACTGTGACTACCGAGGTGAAATCAGTGGAATCTGTGGGGAAAAATGTCTGAAAGGTGCGCACGACTGATGTATGTATGAATGTTGTCATGTTGTTATCAGATGGGAGCAGCTTAGAGTTGTCGTGCATTTTATGGCAATAATACGTACTTGTATAACTTGTATAAACTGTTCATTTACAAACAAAACAAATAAAAAAATACGGTTTACTAATCGGATTAACGGAGCTGGTAATATTATTTGAGAAAGGCTTTCCTTCGGCGCTAATATTTCCCCGCACTTTCCACCAATTGCACGTTCCCCTATGGCAAGTGAGCGTCCAATGGGATGTAGCTTTGTTGGGGGGTCTAGTCTCCCCCTTTCTCACCACAGTCGGCTGCCATTGGTCCAAGGCTGTGAGCCTGTTTGACTGTAACAGTGAATTCGAAACCAGAATAAAAGGCTAACGCATTTACTTATATACTTCACGGTGCGAAGAAGAGGAAAACACGTGTTTTAAGGGGAAAAAGAAAACGGTTTATTTGCTGCTAAAGATAAGTTTTCAGCTTGCTGGCTAGCTTTCCTTGGCTGTGTCCGTTGCACTCCGTAGAAGAGGCGCCAGTTAGCCTGCTCGCTAGTTACTGCTGCGTTTCTTTTTTGTTGTTATTGGAGGGGAGCTGAGCACCGAGTTGGTCTTTGGAAAGAGATCGATAAATAATAGACATGTCAGAATTCCTGGAAGACCCGTCGGTGCTCACTAAGGATAAGTTGAAGAACGAGCTGCTGGCGAACAACGTAGCTTTGCCGAGCGGCGAGCACAAGAAAGATGTATATGTGCAGCTGTACCTGAAGAACCTGACCGCGCAGAACAAGAGGAATCCGGCTCCAGACGCCTTTTCCAGCGACGAGGACCTGCCTCCCCCCGTGGTTTCTAATAAGAGCCGCTCGGGAAGGGTGAGCGCTGGCGCTTTTTACGCGGTTTAGTGTGTATTGGTGCCCACGTGTGCTTCGCGGGGGGGGGTTGTTTTGCCGCTTGTTTTTAGCCGGGTGTCCGAAACACGCCAGCTGCTGTCCTGCGTACGGTAAATGTGGTACCCCCGCAAACGCGGATCGTTTGGTTGGATGCTAGCGCTAAGCAACGATATATTAAATGGTAATTTGCAAGCGCCGGGGAGGTGACACCAGCCGCGGAGAGCGCCTAATCTAGTGGCGCTGATGCGTAATCCTTACTTTGCTGTCCAGTATATCTTTTGCAGTCTTAAGCAGATTAATCGCGAGCGATTGTGCCCGTTTCCCCATCTTGGCGGTGATACGGGCTGCTTCTGACAACCTGCGATGATTTGATTGAATCATGCCGAAGGTTGTCAGTTTCCCGCTTAAAATACTCTTCTCAGGCTTCTGTCGCCGAACGTTTGCGTATGGCCAAATCTGTCCTCCTGCACCCAGTGATTGATTTTATAAAAGTTATTCGGTATTTTAGTGGTTGATTTGCGCGTGCAGATCACGGTTCACGCTACAGAGATGGTTACTTCAGGTTGCAGTTGAGTTTATCTGCCATCGCGGACCGTTTGCTTCGGATATAGACGCGTTTCTTCTGGAGGAACCTCTTCCGTGAGCTCGGCGATGCTCTCGGTCCACCAGGAGTATCTTCGGACGGGGCTGCTGGTCAAAATCCCCGGGAATTTCGGTTTATTCGCCCGGATCGGTCTTTGAATCAGGCACCCAAAAGTGCCGGTAAAATAGGGATGAAATCTGGCGCCCAGTCGGGCTCCGCTATGTCCTTGTTGCCCGATTTCTCTGAATGACGTTTAGAATAAGGTTTAGAAACTCACGAATAAAATCTGAAAACTGCAGTAAAAAGATTGATACTAACACTTGCCATTATGAACTGTGTTCCGTTCACCTGTTTAGTGTTAACTTTTTGAATGGGAACATTTAAATTATGTATCCTTTTTTTCCATGCCATGCTAATTCCGTATAAATGCGTGATGTATCTTTTTTGAGTAAATATTTTGGCTTTTGGAAGTTTAATTTTGCAAACACCATCATCAGGCAGAGGGTCCGTATTAAAACAGAATTCTACAATGAACTAAGTTACTCCGTTTCCTTTTCCACTAATAAAATGTTATGAATTTCATAGATAATTTCTCGTTTTCTTGTAGCATTTTCTGTTTTTTTTTTTTTCTGTTTCTACTCTTGTAGTTTCATCAGTCAGTGTTGCGTTGCTGCTGCTTGGTGACACTGACAGTTAAGGTATTTCAGGTGTTGAATGACTGCGCTGAGTTCCATCGTAGTTGATGTTTGAATGAAGGAAGGTGTTAGATCGTGACGAGTGAGTTTCTGATACAGCAGCCAGCCAGTGAATCCACTAGTTCGGTTACCGGCCAGTCATGGAAAGTTGCAGAGCAATTTAAACTTGTAAAGCGAGTTCAGCTTAGAGAGAGGATGTTTTCTGCTGTGTATCGCACTGATCGTCTCTTGATTTCATGGTTCTTTAGCAGCATATATGTAAAGTGTAAGTCTGTAAGGCGTGTGGGCCATTTGTCGGGCTACGGGGTTCACATGCACTCCTGGTTTGCTGTTTTCACAGTGAGCTCAGTTTCTTTATTGAGGAAATTCTTTCCCAGGAATGTGTCTGAACTGCCAGCTTTTTTTTTTTTTGCTGTTTTTTCCCCTACGCTGAGTGAGCAGGTCGTGGTGGTTCTCAGTACTGCGGGAAACGGGCACCGGTAGTGGGATTCGAACCTGGAGCCCACAGGGGTCTGTAGGAGGCAGACGCTGTATGGGAGTGTGGCGACCACATCTACTAGCCATTTGCCATTCATTCAGTGTGCTCAACTACTTAGTAACAACCATGAAATACCTCTGATTTGGCCAATCATAGGACTTCACAAAATAAAATAAATCACTTTGATTGTATTCCCTGGGCAGTGAGTGAATGTGGTTTTGGGACCTGTATACCACCATCATCGCAGACACTTTCTCATTAGTGCAATAACTCAAAAAGTATTAAAAGGATCATTTACAAACTGGCAGACACTTTGTATGAAGAATTAGACCCAGTCCAAGGCTAGTGTAAGAGAGCTAGAGAGAGATTGGGGGGGTGTGGGAGGAGTAGGGATTAGATAGGGTGGGGGAGGGGCGCCGGGGCTGTCTGCGGAATACATTGTTTTTGTTCTGGCAGCATCAAGTTCTATTCTTTCATTTTTATGCTGGGTGAAATTATCTTTCAGTGAGATTAAATTATAATATTCAAAATAAATGTGATAAAACTAAATGGTAAAAATGATGGTAAATGGACTGCATGTATATAGCGCTTTTCTACTCCTACGAGCACTCAAAGCGCTTTACAATACATGCCTCACATTCACCCATCCACACACACATTCATACACCAGTGGCAGAGGCTGCCATGCAAGGCACCAACCGGCACACCGGGAGCAGTTTGGGGTTCAGTGTCAGGAAGCAGGGCTCGAACCTGCAACAATCCAGTTGCCAAACGATAGCACTACCTCCTGTGCCACCATCTTCCCCATAACTATTTTTTTTTTTATTTTAAATGTATTTAATAATAATTAGCGATCAGTATTCAAAATGATATTTGTCATTAAACTGAAAAGATTATTCAGCACATGCACAGTTTATATTGTTTTTAGTAGCAGTTTGATGTTTGTGGCTTTGGTGTTAAAACCTCTGGAAATCATTGAGTGTGCAAAGGACTCTTTTGAGCCCTGTGTTAGACTGAAGCGGACGGTTCCTTTCCAGGCCTGTCATCTGTTATAATGCAGAGCTGCTTGTATGTTGGTGTTGCATTAGTTTCAGTATTTTGTTGTCCATATTTGTGGTAGCTTATGAGTTTCCTCTTCTTTGCATTATTTCTCTGGAACATTGAAATAATGGTGGTGGGACAGTTTGCAGTGTAACCCAAGCAGTGAGGCAGGGCCAGCTGTTGTGTAACCGCGTCCGCACTGTGGCTCACTGCCTGGGGCTCTGTAAGCAGCGGAGGTGTAAACCCAAGCGGCTCCTTAAACCGCACGTGCCGCAGAGCCGCTCTGGGGGGCGGGCCAGCCCGGGTAGGGGCCAGCCTAAAAATGCCAGCGCTCCTTCAGACACTTGCTGTTGGGGAGGACTGGTGTGGGTCCACTTGGCTTCTCAGTTGACAGTCCAGTGAGTTTCAGGGATAGGCTGTTTGTGAGGGTCTTTTACACTATCCTAGGTTTTCAATTTATTATTATTTTTTTTGCTTTGTTCACTGCAGTTCATCTGGTCCCGGTCTAATGTGTTTGTACGGCGACTGGGGTGGGAATCTATCTCTCCCCATCTGTAAGGCTTCACCTTAAACTGCCTCTTTGGAATGCAGCACTGGTGATACTGCCTGTTTTTTTTTTCCGGCTCTTAGCTTGGTTTAAACAGGCTGAGGCCCAGAGCAGCCCCTGCCAGGATAAGCTCCCAGTCCCGTCTGGGGAGGGCGGCTGAAGCCCCTGCATGCTGCCTTCTTTCTCTGCCGATTCTGCCGGTGGGATGTGCAGTCAGTCTGTTTGCTTTGAGCTATGTGGCAGAGCGGGGAGGGGGGGCGGGGTTCCCCCCGGGGGCCAGCAGGTGGCCGCCGTATGTCTCGGATCACATGACGGAGACGTAAGAGCTGTCCCGGGGCAGCAGAGATGCGCCACTTCCTGGGGTTCAGACTTGCTTTAGAAACTCATCCATTATCAGGACACTGGGTTTAATCCACCTGTTATTTACAAGCACCCTGTGATGCCCAGTCAGAGTAGTTTACAAGCAGGTTCCATCATTTCATTCCCAGCTGTAACGCCTTAAACAGATAGTTTGCCAGGAGCTTCTGCCGCAAGGCTGAAAATGGCTCGAGGTCTAGGTGTGATGTCAGGCTCCACCTGCTGGCGTTCCAGGCACTGCTGCGGGAGCCGTGAGCGGGAAGTGTGGCGGGTGGAACTCCAGGAATGCCAGGACATCTCCTTCTCTAATTATGACTCGCACACCTGCCTGCCTCCTGCCATTGGCTGAGCTCCAGCTCTCAACCGCTGGTATCTTCTCTCCAGAAAGCCACACGGAAGACGGACAAACCCAGGCCAGAGGATGTGGATGTGACGGACCTCACCGACGAGGGCCTGAAAGCCCAGCTGCTGAAATACGGCGTTAACCCTGGTCCCATCGTAGGTGAGTGCGTATACATGTGTGTGTGCTCGTTAATTTAATTTTAGTCACCCTCTCCTGCTACCGGCGTAACGTTCCTTCATGCTGGATCGCTTAGGCCTGCATGTTGTCACCCTTGGCACTGCATCTGGCTCTTTCCTCAATCCCCTCGCGTTGTCGTTGGCTCCCCCCCCCCCACAGCCTCCACCCGCAAACTATACGAGAAGAAGCTGCAGAAGCTGATAGACCAGGGCCCCCCCGATGCCACGCCCCCCATCGCAGTCCCGTCGAAGCCAGACAGTAACCAGAACGGCAACACAGATTCCGACCAGTACAGTGATAAGGAGGAAGGTGGGGGGGCGTAACGCAGCAAAACATATCGACGTAATAATATTTAAAAAATATTATTATTCATTATGCTTGTCCTCCCCTTTCCCAGAAGAGCAGGCGGCACCAAGCCTGGATCCAGAGCCCATCCCAGATCCGGTCCCCGTGGTGGAGCGGCCCGTGAGGAGCAGAGGGAAGAGCTCAGTCAGCTTGCGCAGCAACCGCCACGGAGCCAACAGGGTGGGTCCCCGTGTGTAGGAGGTCATGTGACAGCACGGGCCCAAAGGGGCGGGTCCACGGGGCCGCACGGTGCTAAGGCCCACATACCCGCCCGGGTGAAGCGGCACCGTTCTCGCTTTGTTTATGTCAAGCCGACGGCTTTGGTGCCTGAGTGAGCCAGTTATCGGCTTCACGTGAAGCGTGCGCTCATGTTTCTGCCTGCGTCCTCCCGCTAAACGGAAACGAGAACAGTGTGTTGCGCATACTGAGCCAGAAGGGCTCGGTGAATGGGAGCAGTGGTAGAGCTTTGATGTAGCCCACACGGTGTACGGGGTAAGGCATGTTGGTGGGATTGGTGATTTTCCTGACCTATCAGTTTTTATCCTCTCAGAAGGTTTTTGGGGTTCACTGTGCTTGGTAACGGTAGTTGAAGACAGTTAACAGTTTCCAGTCCAAGACAAAGGATCAAGTTCTTAAGTTCTTATGTTCTTATGTTCTTAAGTTGTATCCTAAACTAAAAATGAACATCATTTAAAATCCATTAAGGACCCCTGTGCTTGTGGCAGGTGGCTCTGTGGGTAGCACTACCTCAAGGTCATGGGTTCGAATCCCACCCGCAATGTGTGTATAGAATCTGCATGTTCTTCAGATATTGCACAAGCTTCCTTTGGGTGGTTTGCCGTCCTCCCAAAGTCATGCTTTGGCCCATGTGTGGCATTTCCCTGCATTTGCTGGGATGAGCTCCAGCTTGGTTAATTATAAAGAGGCCAGGAGGGTCTGTATCACCCTGGACTGCAGGTCTTCTGTTACAAAGGCGTATTCTGTGGGTGATCTGGAGGCTCTTTGTCCCACTGGCCTGCAGGGAGGAGTGCGAACACTAGAGTGATCCTCCATGTTGGCTTTTCCTCCAGCAGTCGCTCAGCCTGACCGTGGCTGCGGCGCCAAGCCGTCCGATGTGCGTGACAGACGGCTTTGTGGGTAAGATACGGGATAGACCTGTATGCTTAGTGATGTGTGTGTCCTGTATGGTACTGTGGAGAGGGAGGAGGAGGAGGAGGAGGAGGGGCCAGAGGAAGAGGAGCAGTGGCCAGAAGAACAGCCCTCCCTTAATGTGAAGAGACACCCACGGACGCCCCAGCACTGGAGGGATCAGACCGTCCCTGCTAGTGATGACACTGTAAACACCCCCCCCCCCCCCCCACACCACCCCCAAGGCTTTGAGCCTGTGCACCGGGTGCAATTGGGTTCACGTTGTAGAAGGATTGCTATGTCACTGGGATGTCTCTGGGGTGTTTGGAGAGCACTAGCTGGAGTACCACTCCCTAGGTATCACCCCCCCACCCAATGAGGCTTCATTATTGCATCCCAGAATGAACTCTGCTCTTCCTAATGCCGTTCCCCCCCCCCCTTCAGGACATGTCTGAGTCATCTGCCTCAGAAATAGTCGCCCCTCCTCGTAAACTGACTGGTTCTGGATCTTATAAGCGAGATTCTCCGGTGGGTTCCTGGTCCATATTCCCCTCCCTTTCCACCTGTCGTACTCCCATCTCCTCCCAGTAACTTCTCTCACTATGTTCTTAATTCTGTTTTCGTTTTTTTTGGCCTCTTTGGCCTGTGACTGTGTTTCTCCCAAAGGGGGTCCCGCGGGAGCCAAGGTCCCCGTTACCCGCCAAGCCGTCCAAACCCGTGTCGCTGAGGCGTTCTGACCAGAGCGCGTCTCCGTCTGGGACCCCCCGGGCCTCCTCCTCGTTAATACCACCCCTTCAGCGGCAGGCAGCGGCCCTTCGTCTGGAGTCCTGCTCCCCTAGATTAACCCACAAGGATTCCCCAGTAGCCAGTTTGTCCCAGGTACTGGGCTGGCGAAGATGCTGGTTCTGGTGGCGCAGAAGGTCATAGATGGTCTTGCTGGGGCCACAGTGTTTCTCCCCCACGTGTCGCCATTGTGTAGTTGCAGTCAAAATAGTTGGCAGAAGTAAATTGCTGGTTGCTTGAAGTATTCATTCAAGGGGTAATCATTTTAAAACTGGGTGCACCTGGATTTTATGCTTTTGATTTTTGTTTTGTTGGATGGGTGTTAAACGATTATGGTTGTGATGACAATGTGGCTGCCTGTTTGGGCAGTGATGCTTGTCATCTCACGGGAGCTCATTTTTCATCCTGTTTCACCTCAGCACCTCCCTAAAAGACCCCTTCATCATCCCCGGGGCCAGACCCCCACAGATACCCGCGATGAGTGCGGCAGCTCCCGGGGAAGTGATCAGAATATCCACCACACCCCTTCCTCTACCCGGATGGGTGTCAGAAAGGTTTCTGATTTGTAATGTTTTGTAGGTCTGTGTCTTTGGTTCGGTGAGGTTGTGTAGCCTTGTGTTGCCTTTGGTCAGGGAGGGTTGCAGTCTGACACCGATGACAAGGACACATCTGCACTGCCTGCCCCTGTGCAGCCACAAGCGCATCTGCAGTCCCTGCTCAACACTGCGCTCCTCGAGGTGATGCCCTGTGCTCACAGCTCCCAGTGCAAAATCTTGCGTCTGCTCACCTTGGGTCCTGGGTCTTGTTTGTCGGTCATATGATCCTGGCACACAAAAGGTTTCCTGTCTGCACTTATCTGCTGCCCCCCCCCCCTCCCACTATAAAACAAATGGGACTTTGTGAACAGAGGGGCCTGAACCTCAGATGTTCACTTCTTGAGCAGGAGGGCTTGGAGGGTGTAGACCCCAGCAAGGCCTCCCAGTGTGTAAGGAAGCAGCAGAAGATCCTTAGCACGTTCACCCCCGGAAGGCTGCAGTCCTGGCCCTGTACACCCGTGGCTCAGGGGGCTGGACGGGTGAGTGTCCGGGTACGGCGTCCGTAGATGGTTGGGTTGCAGCTGTTAGGTTTTGGGTTCCACTGTGAGAGCATAAGGAGACCACAGCTGTAGTTCTTGAGGCTGGTTGGGTGCAGGCCTCCCTTGGGCTGGGCATCATTCAGGTCTTTTTGATACCAGTACCAGAACAATACCTTGCTTTCGATACCAGTTCCTGAACAGTACTTTTTTTGATATCAATATGTTTTTAAATCTGTTTCTTCAACAGCAAAAATACAGACACTCCACGTACGAACGAGATACTTTCCGAACAGCTGTTCGTAACTTGAAATGTTTGTAAGTCGTTATTCAACATCATTCTAAGGGCATACGCAAGTACAAAGAACTAGGAAGCTGGGGGTTCACGCGCTACGCTGCTGCGCGGCGGGAGTAGCGGCCAGGAGTCGTACTAGGCGGAATTGGCGTGCAGAAAAAAAATTGATGTTGTGGACAGGAAACGGGAGCCCAAGGAACACAATTTTGACTTGCAGTTCTCTTCGTTCGTATGTCTGTAAGTTCGTAAGTAGAGGAGCGTCTGTACATTAAACATTACAGCACTAATCTTTTATTTAGACGTTTTGTTAGTTATCGGTTAGTTACTGGAGGGATCGATCACAATCATAACGGGAAGCAGCCTTTATCCACTGCCCGGCCAAAAAAAAAAGTCACCATTTTAAATTTTTCGTTGGACCGCCTTTAGCTTAGCCTTTAGATTATGGTGCACATTTGTCATGGCATTGTTTCCACAGGCTTGTGCAACATTTCACCCTTTATTTTAATCCAGATTTGCATTCATTTCTCAATGAGATCCTGTATTGACAAGTGAGCTGAACCACTCCATAAAGCCTCCTTCAGCACATTCCAAAGACCTTCAATGAGGTGAAGGTCACACCTCTGTGGTGACCAAGTCATTCGTGAAAATGATTCCTCGTGCTCCCTGAACCACACTCTGACAATTCAAACCCAATGAATCTTGGCATTCTTGTCCTGGAATATGCCCATGCCAACAGGGAAGAGAAAATCCAATGATGATGGATGGAGGTGTAACCTGGCCATTCAGTAGATTCAGGTACTCAGCTGACTTTACCTTATTGCTGCATAACGTTGCTGAACTATAATAATGATCCAGTCATTGGCTCTTAAGTATTTGCTGATATAAATTCAAATGGTGACCTTTTTTTTGGCCGAGCAGTGTATTTTACCAGGGCTCTCAAGTTTCATCAAAAGTTTGGGGCGCAATGTGTGTCTCACGGTCAAAGCGTGACACTTTACAGCCCTGCCTACTGCATTTATCAGATCTTGCTCTACCACTTCCACGTAGTCTACAATCCGTATGTGCGAGCATTCATGTGATAACGTGCTTGCAGCGGGATCACATGCAACAAATGCCATTTTCTGATTGGCTGGTGTGGGGTGACTTTTAACTCCGTATAACTCAGGACTATGAACTCGGCCAAAACTCCACTCCGTATGCCTGCGCCTCGTCCACTAATTCCATGAATTTATGGGACGCAAGTTGGGCGTTATCTCTTACTTCCCAGCTTGAGAAACACAAGGTGTGGCATGTGTGCGTGTGAGCTCACGGTCACTGCGTGAGACTTTAGACCCCGGTTTTACTTGTATGACCCGGTGACATGTTTAAAGTTCATAAATAAATCTGGCCAGCAGATGGATATTTCATTTTCCGCTGAATACAGAAACAGTGTAACGTTATCCCGCTAATGCACTGGCGCCTTTCACCGCCGACACCGGCCGGGGATGCGAGCCGAAGGACATTCAGTCTTATTGAGGTGCAAAAATAATTCCATCCACTCTTGTCTTTCTTCCTGCACTTCCGCGTAGCGTCCTTTTTAGCGTCAGTGCTTGTGGTCAGGCAATCAGCGCGTGTATCACTACAAGTGTTCCGACGGTCTCGCTCACACACACATCCATATACATATGCAGCAGTTCTCGCTCTCTCTGGGCTTTTCCCGTGATATACGACGATGTGGTCAGCCGCTAGATGAGGGGCATATTTGCAAGCCGCACTGTCTCCAAAAATGGGCGCAAAATGCGACTAGATGGTCGCAGCCTGGAACCCTGTGTAGCCACATTTTTGATTTCTTAGTCATTTTTAGCGTTACGTTAGACAGCCAATCACCAGCAACTTTAGATCTCTACACAAGTACTCTGTAGGGTTATTAGCTCACAGACACTGAGATTTACTGTTTGGATATTGGAATTTGGCACAGATGGAAAATTAACGATCCTCGATAGGATTGGAGCCTTTCTGTTGGTACCACAAACGTACCGAAGTTGGGTACCCAGCCCTAGGCCTGGATGGTGTGAGTGCGTCAGAGTGAGACTCACTATCCCTGCACTGGGAGGCGATTTTGATCACGCCACCGCAGCATTCTCCTCCTCACGCTCTGCACGTCTACATCGGCACAGGTGGAGGAGAGACCGGCAGCAGCTCTGCAAACACCTACAGCAGATGGCAAGGACATCTTGAAGGAGATGTTCCCCAATGAAGTCGGCACTCCCACGGGCATCACGTAAGTCACTTCTCTGTTAATGTCACGCTGAATGTGCTGCTCGGGTTCTGTCTTAAAGCATGCGGGGCACTTGCATAGCAACCAGGGATGTTTGTATACTGACCTGGCAGCAGAACATGCTGTGTAGTGAACTCAAAGCTGGGCCTCATCATGCTATTGGGCTGGTAGAGAACCTGCATGTACGGTGATGGTGAAACTGGGGAATCTTGTGGAATGAGCTGCGGAAGTGGCCTTCCCAGTATCGCCTGCGCGTTGGGCCCTCTTCGGCCCTGTGTACATTCGTTTTTAAAATGCGTCTTGGATGGTCGGATCATAAGTGGACAGGGCTACAAGTACAAGTGTAACCAACCACTAAGATGTACTGTGACTCGAACCACTTGCCGATGTGGTGTGGGACACGTTTGGCTACGTGTGTTTTGTAGTGTGCAGAGGGGCAGTAACGAAATCTGAGTGGTCGGCTGGGCACCTTGGAGGTGCAGGATAGACACAGGTATAGGTGGGTATGTGTCTCGGGTGTTCACCTGTAATCCAGTCGCCCAAGACGCATATTAAAACCAAGTGTAAACAGGGCCTTAGAATCAGATTCAGAAAACGTCTATTATCCTGGTCCTATTATTATCCTTATTAGGACTTATTATCCTAAGTCACTGTGGTCTTGATTGGCCACAGCACAGATTGGTCTTGATTGGTCAAGAGGGCCCATCATTCCGGGTATAAACGAGTATTTTGTTTTGCTGTCAAAAGTACAGATATGTGTGCATTACTGGTTCTGCATTCCAGCATTCTTGATATAATTACCGGTCTCCACAGCGCCACCTGCAGGCGGCCCATACGTGGGGCAGCAGGGAGGCCACTGAAACCCAGTGACTTCTGGCTGGACGAGTCCCTCCTGCATCACTCCGAGCGCCTGGAGAGCCGCTCCTACATGGAGAGCCGCGCCACGCCACGGCCGCTCCCTCCGCTCTCCTCATCTTCCAGGATCTCCACGGCGGCGGCGCCCTCTGCTGGGCACGCTTATGCACGGCGCTCCTTGCCGGTGTGGGTGCAGCTTCTGCTGCTCACCGCTGTGGCCGGCTTCCTCTTCTTTGTCTACCAGGCCATGGAAACCAACCATCTGAACCCCTTTGGCCAGGAAGGTGATGGCGCTTCCCCACCCAGCAGCGCAGGAGGGAGCACTGCCGAATAAATCGGCCCATTTCCTGATACCCCCCCCCAGTACTGTGTCCCCCTCCACATTTCTCTTCGTTCTCCTCCTGTGCCCAGCACCATGCTCTGCTCATTGTGGAAGCCTCCTTCTTCCAGCCCTCCCCCCCCCCCCCCCCCCCCCCCCACCCCCCACATCAGGACAATACCTCTACATGACTCAACGGTTAAAGCAGCGCTTCCATCACGGGGCACGGACACTGTAGTTACCACCACCCCCCCACCCCAAACACTAATTTGTGTTTGTCCATCTAAAATCTCCTAATCCTTCCCCATTTTCCCTTTGCCTTCATGTTCTCCTCCACTTGTCGATTTTGTTTTGGGGTAAAAGTCTCCTCACTCACCGCCAGTGACGGTCCCTCTACCTGTGTGGGCGGAGCCAGCCCCGGCCCACCCCCTCAAAACTGCAGTGGCTTCCAGTGGAACACATGGACTGGGTTTATAGTGTCTGTCTTTTTATCATTGTCTGTGTGGGTTTGATAGGGATGTTACATGTTTATAACGGTGCCAGTGTGCATTTCTTTTTCTTTGTTGTTCGTCTAAGATGCAACACGGTTTAATCGTGGAATACTGTCTACGTGTGTAAATACCAACAGAAAGACAACTGGGCTTCGATTAGGTTATGGCCTATCATTTTTGTGAGTTTAATGATTAACCATTTAGCTGTTGTATTTAGCTTGCAATAACACTCCAATATTTTGACCCTAATGTTGATTCTAGTTTAGAAAAGCCCGTTTCTGAGTCTGCTGCACAGTGGAGTATTTTATATGAAACACACTGGCTCCTGCCGCAGTTAAGTTCTGGTGAACTTGCCCCTGTATCCCTTTAACATTCCCGTCCACGGGGGGCTTGCCTCTGTTACGATGTCCGTTTCAGGGATGGGTGACACTTTTTCATGTGAGAGCCATGTTGGGGAAATCCCAGCTGTGCACGTGATACAGGCACGGTAACATGCGCGTGCATCTGCAGCACTTAGCCCTCTGCTGACCAAATTCTGTTTTAAAATACTGTATAATGACTCTTTCTGTAGCCTTGCTGTTTATTCTTAATTTTTTTTCCCCCCCAAAGGTTTTTTTTAGGCATGTTGGTCTCAGTCCTTAGAGGAACCGATCTGATGTGAACGCAGTTCAAGATGCAAGCATGACTGATCTTGCCCTCTCTTAAATCTGCATTGTTGTGCTTTCAGAGTGTTCTGCTACTGAAATGCTTGCATTTCTCTATCTGTGACTTATAATTGGTTGCCTCTCTCTATGGACATTCCCCCTGTCGCCACGGGTCACTACACAGAAGGTCCCCTGGTGAAATATGTCCAGAATGTGATTACCTGGATTACCTGGGCCTGATTACCTGAAGTGGCATTTGTGTGTGTCAGTGGCCCAGCTTATACACCAGCCATAATAACCAGTGTAACTAATGAGCCGACAGGTGCCAGCACCCATAGGAATGTGTAGGGATGACACTTCACTTATAACACTGTAGCACTATTGACCCTGAGTTTGTAACTTGCCCCCCCCCCCCCCAAGTGGCCAGGCCTGTGTAATATCATGTGTTAGATCCTGTCTGTCTCTTCCACTCCTTACCCCCACTGAACACTGGCTGAACTGGTATGAGAAGTTAATGTCATTTTTGGTTTCTGTGTTTTTACTAACTTGGATCAAACGGTTCAGAAATCAGAGTGTACTTTTAAAAGGAGACATTTCTAGTTGGAAATGCTAATAAAATGCTATTTTACTGCATTGGGTCATTTACCCTTCTTTGACTTGTCCTCGGTTTGGAAATCTGTGCCATAAAAGGTTTAGGACAGTTTTTAGTCATTTAGTGCCTGTACTTTTTGTTTTTGTAACTGCAGTATTTTTCTAATGTGTCTTCAGAAGGAGAAAAAAAAACAACTTTTTTTTTTAAGTTTGAAATGCAAGTAAAACCGTTGTCTACTCGTGTAGAGAGTGCAAAGTGCTGGTTTAACAGGAATAATGTGAAACTGCTTTACTGAGCTTTGCAGCCTTTTTGAAATTCTACAAATGTATTTAATGTTTCAGAGAAGAGGCCGGAGAGCTTGTTTCCGTCGGGTTTGGGGGCTGCGGCTCGGGGAATGTGCAGGGTTTTTAAACTGGGGTGGCTCTTTTTATTGTAGTTGGTATCATTTGTAGAAACCAAAATAAAATTCATAACTTAAATCCTCTTCCTCCCTTTGTCTTCTGTTCATCCCTTCAGTTAGGATGTTGACAGTGACTGCTGATGACTAGCTTGAAAATGGTTCACTGTGTTTTCTATGGGAACAGGATACTGGATATATCTATTATGCAGAATCCCAAGGGATAATTTTTTTTTCCTGTCATTTCCGTACACAAAACCAATTTGAAACCAGTATTGATCAGTCTAACTTCTGTCTGGTATGTCTTATGCCGTTCCTTCTGTTGTCTTAAGGTTGGATTATTGGCTAGTTGACCATGGCCAAGCCGCTGAGGGATACAAAAATGCTGTGTTTTCTTTGCAGCTGTAATCATACAGCCAGCAGAGGGCAGTATAGTATATTGCGGAAATGAATTTATACTTCATGGTCGGCAGGAAAAAGCGTACGGTGACCCCGGATAATGTAGGGAGGGAAACTGGTGCATTGTTGATGCTAATTAGCTGCATCTGTTTTTAAATCCACTGTCCTCAAATCGCAACACTTTTACATGAGGGGATTTGTCCGCTAGTCTTAATCAAATATACTTAATTGTACCCGAGAAGCACATACGATGTATTATGCTAAATTTCGATTTGCTTAGAAGGAATCTGATATCCTTTAGAGCTCGTGACTTGTAACTTAATATGCTTATTTTCCAAGCAATGGAAATATAAATGATTAGAAATAAAATAAAGTAAAAACGGCGTTCGGTCACTGATAATCAATGATAGCAAGCTTATGTTTAAGATGTATCATTTAGGTTGTACAGTTGTAGAATATGATGAAAAGAACTGTAGCTTGAAGTGAAGTGGAAAGCTCGTGACTGATACTGCGTTTAGATATCTGCAGCCATATATAGTTGTGCGTTAATATATTTCCGTATTGGTTTACATTTTCTTATTTCTTTTCTCCAAAGAGGTTTTAGGGAATATTGGGGTGGGAGATTAAACCTTCTCTTACAGATGTTGCAGATTACGGATTACTAAATACTACATTGGGACTACGATATGTTATTAAAATTTATTTGTCCGTATGGACCTCTCGTCCTTCACAGTTTGTCTTGGGCCTATCAGTCCAGTGACCGAATTAACCTCAAAGAAATGTGATGAGGTTCCACCCACAAATGTAATCTGCTTCACGATTGGACGGGAGCTGTAGTGACGTGTCGGTTCTCCCCGCGTGACGTCAATGAAGGACAAATTGGTTTGCCGCGAGGACGTCGGGCCTCTATCGGAGCCGCCGGTAACAGGGAAGCGGAGGCGCCATTTTGTGAAAGAGTCAGAAAACGTGAGGCGCTCAATTTCATTAATTGGTGTTTTTTTTTTGTTTAAATATGTGTTTTGCCACATTTACAAAGAGTGATGGTTTTTTTCGTCTATCCAAATCATTTTAACTTATTTGATTTGACCCTTCGGTCTAAGATCCTTGAATGACAGTAGGCTATTTGCTAAGCTAGCAGATAGCCGGCAGCATATAATGGTGTGAAGTTTGATGTTACTGTTGCCATCTAGAAAATAGGTTTGTTTAATATGTGCAGTTAGAAAACGTATCTCAAACCGGAATAACGACATGATTTCAGTGTAGTTGTCGTGTATGCATTACTTTGGCCTAAAAATGACTTTTTCCGCACAGCTCATTCCCTGGGATCATGTACCCGACCACACTGACGCAGCTGGCCCGGGCGAATCCTTTCAGTGCACCGCTGTTCACTTTGCAACAAGTCGAGGAGCCGAAACAGAGCCCCGTCAAGAATGGGCAAAGCACCCGGAGGCTGGCCGCCGCCGCAGTGGCTGGTAAGGTGGACTTCGGAAATCCTGCCCGCACTGCGTCCGTGATTCCGGCGTAGGAGGTCATTGCGACTATAAAGCTGAAGGTGTGCAATGGCCGGTCACTAAGGCCCGCGAGTGACCGGCGCGGAGTTCACCGCCGAGCTTCAGGTTGTAATATTTTGGCATATGGAACCAGATAATGTATTTTAATGAGATAATCATTGGTGGCAGATATATGTTCAGGCCCCGAGATGGCTAGTCTTCAGCGCGTCTTAGTTTAAACGTGACCGGTGTTATGTATTGTCAATATGCGTAAGTGTGAAGAATGACCTTCAAATTGGTAACTGTGTTTTGTCTGTTTCTAAGCCTGTATGTGCGGCCTTAGTGAGAGACGTGTCTCCCGTTAGCGATGTAGGGCAGGGAAGGACAAAATACTTATTCGACCCCCCCAAGTTCACCGGTATGACACGGCTGATGGATGCCTGATTTCCCTTCTTTTTAAATATTTTTTAAAAAAGCTGAATGACACTGAAGGACGAAAGGTTCTTTAAAACGTCGAGGCGATGTGACCCTCTCTGCGTCTGCATCACGTGCCAATAAGCACGAATTTCATTGGTTCATGTGTTAGTAACGCGGACTGACTCGAGTGACAGGCACGTTACGGTGGGGATTGTGAAGTTTAGTCACTTCTCTACAAGGTTTGACTTCGTCAGCGTGATTGATCGTACCGTTAAAATAATGAGCTTTCACGTCAAGGCCACATAGTCAATGTGATTAGACAGGTTTATGTTGATTTCTTATAGAATTGGCGTGGTTATGATCAGCCTCCAGGGCAATGTTTTTTGTCATAGACAAGACATGTTGCGGCAATACCGGAGTACGTGAATCACCGCTGCATTTCTGGAGAGTAATTAGGTCGGGGATGATCGAAAGATACCGCAAACAGAATTTGAGTTGCCCACTGCTTTTCAGAAGGGACGGATTGAGGGTTTCATTCAACAAGTCCTTGACGTTCCTCTGCTCACATCTGGTTTCCAATGAATATGCACAAATCCAAAAGTGCAAACTCGGGCAATCTGACCATCTTTCCTCAGAGGAAGACAGCTGTGAGTTCGGCTCTGCAAAATATTTCATCCTGTGTGGATTCGGTGGCATTCTGAGCTGTGGCACCACGCACACGGCTGTCGTGCCCCTCGATTTGGTTAAATGCAGAATGCAGGTCTGTCTTTGCATGGGCTGAGGTCTATACCAAATGCGTGGTTTGCGGTGCACTAGCCTCTATATGGGAACATATAGCACTTTGTGGTGTGCTGGATTTCCTGTATTACTAATGAGAGATTTGTTTTACATCGGACACCCCCCTCCCACCACCAGATCCATAAAATTGCTTCCCCGACTGATCATTTTCCATTGCAATGCTGTGTGTCTTAGAACAATCTAGTTTCTAAAAATGGGTGTAATGGGTTTCTTCTGGGTGACCAGGTCATGACCTTCCGTCAGGGGATTGTCAAAGCCGAATGTACTGTGGCAGAAAATAGGGTGAGTGAATGGATTCTGAGTGTAGGCCAGCTTATGCAGATATTGCACAAAAAGCAGGTGTGACATAGGCCCCATTAATGTGTGTATAGTACATTCCGCTTATGGTCATGTGGCCAGAGGGCTCCAATAAGATGAGCTCCTTTCTAGAGATGTAGTAGCATTTGAGTTTTGAATCTGTTTACTTGATCATCTGCTTGTTTTAAGGGTTTGGGTGAAATGATTTATGGATTGCAAGTAATAAATACTTTCAGCTCCTAATAATAGCCCGCAAACTGCTCCCTCTTACTAGTTACCATCAAAACACTGTCCTGTTTATCAGCTAATAGGTGATTGTAATGTTGATGTGATGGCCTACTGTGAATATTAACCCATTGGTCAGAGGTCAGTGATGTAGTAGTAATACCAGTATACTGCACTTTGAATTTTGCATCAGCAGGAAGCAGCCCACTGTGATCCAGTAGCATGGCGTGGGGTGGAAAATTTCTGGAAACTTTCCAGAAATTTTCTATTCCATGGGAAGTTTGTAAATATTCCAAATTAGGAACTTTCCATGGGAATTAACAGGAATATATGGGAATTGACAGGAAAATTCCATGAATTTTGCAACCCTAACGTGTGACTAACCGCATGTTGCACGCGTGTGTCCCCCCTGCCGCAGACTCGGACGTGAGCTGCGAGTTCGGTTCTGCGAAGTACTACGCCTTGTGCGGTTTTGGGGGAATCCTGAGTTGTGGCATCACACACACGGCTGTTGTGCCCCTCGACCTCGTCAAGTGCCGCCTGCAGGTCTGTACATGAACCACCGCTCACCTGAGGCACAGGTTCGCGTCCCACTGCACCAGTGCCACGCCAGTTCATTCTAATCCCACAGAGTGCAGACCACTGTGTTGTGACAGGCTGCTGATGCTGTCTTATGTGTTTAGGTGGATCCCGCGAAGTACAAGAGCATTTTCAATGGATTCAGCGTCACCATTCGTGAGGACGGCATACGGGGGCTGGCAAAGGGCTGGGCACCCACCTTCATCGGCTACTCCATGCAGGGCCTTTGCAAGTTTGGGTTCTATGAGGTGTTCAAGATCATGTACAGCGACCTCCTGGGAGAGGTGGGTCTAGCAGCTGGGATAGGGAACAGTGCACCGTGTAGCTGTTATCACTCTGGGGTTGGGTCCTTGGGTCAGCTGGATTAATTTGCTTTTGTTGTATTTGAAAATGGTGCTCTTGTTTTAATGAGCCCCGATGTGCCTCTGAATCTCACCCTGCTGGTGCTTTGATACAGTATGATAGAGTAGACATACCTCTTCTGTTTCCCCCCAGGAAAATACTTACATGTGGAGGACCTCACTGTACCTGGCAGCGTCAGCCAGTGCAGAATTCTTTGCCGATATAGCACTGGCCCCCATGGAGGCATGCAAAGTGCGTATCCAGACCCAGCCGGGCTATGCTAACACCCTGCGGGAATGCGGCCCCAAGATGTATGCCGAGGAGGGCCTCTGGGCGTGAGTATCTCGACTGTCTTCTTTCCGTGCAAAAAGCTCGACACGTTCCTTAGATCCACCTCTAGGGGGTGCTCAGGTGCTGGAGCCGCTCCACCCTCTTGGGGTTCAGCATCTCCAGCCCCGGTGGCCCCCAGCAACTTGCCGGTTGTACGGTTGGAGGTGCTTGAGTCATTGGCGTGTGAGAGCAGTCCACCTGCCCCCTAGCCGTCTGCTGCACTGGCACCCCCTACTGGCAGGAAACTCCCAGTGCAGCTAGGCTGGGTGGCGGACAGTTTAAACTTGCCTCCATCTTCAGTTAGATGGTGAAACAAACTACTTGAAGATGCTGGTGTATAATTGTGTTAAGTAGCTGTGGAAGGTATGGGTGAATTATTTTCAAATAATTAATGGTTCGAGTTTCCAAGTCCCTGGGTCTCGACTAGGGGCTTCTGTGGCTTTTGGCCAATTTCATCGCTTTCACACCACACAACAGGAAGTGAGACCTTTATGCTTAAATATGGAAGACTGAAAAAATTGGTAGGTTACACAATTCCTTATGAAACTACACCACCATGCCAAAACCATGGAGGATGATTAAGTCATTTTGTCATTGAGGGGATCAATCACGATCAAAACAGGGACACAGTCTTTCATTCATATTTTACTTATGACCCGCAATCTGTTCCTGATTCCTATTAAATCTGGCCAGCAGGTTGAACTTTCATTTATGTAACACTATCACACTAAATAGCGCTGGCAAATTTCAAAGCCAGCACCGGCAATATTAGCCAGTAGTATATTGGTTGGTGATCGAATTTTCTGGAGCTATAAGGAAAAATGTACTATATTGATTCATTGAATGTAATTGGGGTACAAAAAATAATTCCTGCTCAATTTTTGCTCCCCTACATCTTTTCTACACTTCTGCGCATCTTCCATGTTGCCGCTCATCAGCAGCTTTTTTTTTTTTTACTGTAAGCTCCTCCTCTGTAGTTTGGCAATGAAAAAGTGCCGAGTCTGGAGTAGTTACTAAGTGGGGTTCTGGAACTTCCTCAGAAGAACTACAATCGGGCTGAGTTCCTGTGGTGTTGGTTCCAGAGAACAGTTCTGGTGGTGTGGAAGTGCCTTGATTCAGTCTCCTTGTACAAATGCCCCCTGTTCCAGCTGATAAATGTGTGTTGGGTGGTTCTGTGAAATGGACTCAATCTGTGCCACTTCCTACCCCTCTGCAGGTTCTACAAGGGTGTGGTTCCCCTATGGATGAGACAGATCCCCTACACCATGATGAAGTTCGCCTGCTTCGAGCGCACCGTGGAGGCCCTGTACAAATACGTGGTGCCCAAGCCTCGCAGCGAGTGCTCCAAGTCTGAGCAGCTGGTCGTCACCTTCGTGGCTGGATACATCGGTGAGTCTGGTGGCTGAACGCCATGAACGGGGGTGTTATGCTTAGTTAGGAGATGAGCCATGGATTGCATCCAGTTTGGATATGGTGTGCTGTCGCGTTGGTCTTGACCCTGCCCTGTGTTCCTGCAGCTGGGGTCTTCTGTGCTATCGTGTCCCACCCTGCGGACTCTGTGGTATCAGTGCTGAACAAGGAGAAGGGCAGCACCGCGTTACAGGTGCTCAAGCGACTTGGACCCAGAGGTGAGCTTCCGAAGGACTCCCACACCCTAACCTACTACTTTGGTTGTGGCTCTGTCCGTCGGTTTTTAGGCCAAGGTGTTCAACACGTTCCTTAGATCCACCTCTAGGGGGCACTATGGTGCTAGAACTGCTTTTCCCCTCTTGGGGTTCAGCATCTCCAGCCCCAGTGGCCCCCAGCAACTTTCCGGTTGTACGGTTGGAGGTGCTTGAGTCATTGGCGTGTGAGAGCAGTCCACCTGCCCCCTAGCCGTCTGCTGCACTGGCACCCCCTACTGGCAGGAAACTCCCAGTGCAGCTAGGCTGGGTGGCGGACAGTTTCCCAAAAGCAGAGATCTTTGCTTGTGTCTGTGCTCAGTGTTTAACATCTTGACTTGTGTGTGGAGACTGTGATGTTCAGTGTGACACAGGGTCACCTGAAGGGGTCTGCTGAACGCTGTATGTTCCTGTGCTCTCGCCCATCTCCCAGGCGTGTGGAAGGGTCTCTTCGCCCGTATCATCATGATCGGCACCCTGACGGCCCTGCAGTGGTTCATCTACGACTCCGTGAAGGTGTACTTCCGCTTGCCCCGCCCCCCTCCCCCAGAGATGCCCGAGTCCCTGAAGAAGAAGCTGGGCCTCACCGAGTAGAGCAGCTGCCTCGCCCGTGCCCCTTTCCTAACCCCCAGACACCAACACACCGCACAGCTTTCATTTTTCTATATTTAACGTACCTCCCGCATCTCATGTCTCAGCTGCTATCTGCCTGGATGGCACCTATGAGGAATTTGGGGAGAGGGTTCCCCCTGCTGGCGGACAAGGGAAAGGGCCTTTTGGGGATCATAGTCTGGTTTTTATCACCTGTGTTTAGTTAATGTGGATATAATAATTAAAAATCCCTTAAACACAATCGCTGGTGTCTTCCTTTAAAGAAAATCACAATGGTAGTACGTTAGCTCTGTGCACGAGTTGTAAGCATGTTCGGGCAGTGTTTTTTATTTTTATTAATATTAATGTTCCCTCCAGCTCTGGGTGCCGTTATTGTAGCATGTGGGTATGACCTTAAGGGTGCTGCTTTTAAAGACGCTTGTGCACAGTCATAAATGAATTCCAAACAGAAACATGGTTTCCAGAGGGGTATTATGTATAAGACAGGGGTCCTATACAACCGGTTATCAGAGATGTTGGACCGGGTAGTATTTGAATGTCATAGCCAACAGTTTCACGAGTCTGTACAGTGAGGAACTTTGCTGTGTATAATAGGCGATCTGACAATGATATGTAAATTAGAATAAAGCAATGTGGTTTTCGATGTCATTCATTTTAAACCAGGTTTATGTTGATTGACGCTTTTTATACCAGGGAGAGCCATACAGGGAGGAAACGTATCCTCTCGCCGTCTTGGGGAAACTCATGTTCTCCCTACACCACAAGTGCTTTCGCTAACCGTTTGCGCCTTATTTCTGAAAAACTCGGATTATCAGAAAAGGAGGCATCAGACAGCCGTAATATCACTGGAATGACATTTGAATCTGCGTACGGTATTTATCGCCGTGTTGGTCCGAATTGGAGTGACACAGTGCATCAGGATGGTGGTGTTGCCATTTATTGAAGAAGACGAGACTTAATGCATCTCGGCAAGTCAGTTTGAGTATTACCGCGAAATATGAAGCTTTCGGTAGGATACTAAGCACTCCTGTCTTGTTCTACATCTCATCTCGTTGTATTATCTGCATCCCTTGTACATCGATTTGGACACGGCGTCTGTAAATGTAAATTATAAAGAAACTTTCCGAAACCACGGATGTTAAAAGGCTGGATGTTAGCGTTTCCAACGACAGAATAGCTATTAACGATTTTTGGTAAACAGAATACTATGTTGACTATTTTAATAGGGAAAAAAAATTAAAGTGACAGCGTTTTCTGTGGTTTACGTGTTTGGTTGACTGCCTTTTGAGGGTTTTTTTACGCTTTTTTTGGTCATAAATTTCCTTGCTTGTTACAGGGCTAAAATGTCCCACGTTAATTTTCAGTGAAAGGATATTACATTGATGATATCATTGTCATCATTTATTAATGCTTTTTGTTATGTAACAGCGAATCGCATATTACTGTTAGCTGTGGTGGATAATATTACCCGTAACTCTGCCCAAGATAACCGGCTAGAAGATAAATGAATGGACGGATGATTAGATAATATCCATATACCATGCTGGATGTACTGACAATGCAGCGGAACCGTCCTTATATGGGTGAACGGCAGAGGGCGCCAGAGTCTATTTTAAGTGAAATCTGCGGAGCTTGGTGCCCTCGAAACTGGAAAACTTTATAATAAAAAAGGGAACTCATTTATTGTGCATCCGTTATAGTAAAGGCGACTAATTGTGGTTGTTATGCTATGTACATATTGAATTTTATTCAGTGATAAGAACCCATTTTTTTTCAATTACTAGCAATAATGTAACGCGGTGAGGTCGGCATGACACCGGAAACAAAATGGGGAAAGTAGTGCTGTGCTTTTGCTATTACGCATCCTCCCAGTAATTTGATCTTTATCACCGTCTATGCTGACGGCAAAGGAGCGGGCTTACGGAGGAGGCTTACAGATACAGGGGTATGGTTATTATATTATGAAGATTTTGTGCTAGAATTTAAGTGAATTATATTCGTATGACCGTGGCCCGCATGTGGCTGGAAATTGCGCGTTGGCGGAGCTGAGAGGGGTTTCACGCGCCTAAATGCGCTAATGGCGCTCGCCGGTGTCACCCGCAAACAACGGAGGGGAAGCGCTGGACCTCGTGCTGCGATTCGAAAATTATTTTCGTCTGTATTATCCATTTAGTTTCTTTTGATGAGGAACTCCTGGGAATGAGGAACACGAAAGAGCGCAGATCTGCGAAACAGATGGCAGTTTTCCAGTACGCAGGATCTCATTCTCTCCGGGTTCTTTATGGTTGGGTTCAGAGGTTTTGAGATGAGGAGTCCCATCTATCCATAACCCTGCATCGTTGTACCTTCTCTAATAGCTCCAAATAGAGTCTCCTTTTCATAGCGAATAATTCAGTATCATCTATACTGCGTGAGTCGGTAAAATGACAGGGAAAATATTTAGTTATGTATGTTTTTGCTAAAATTTTTACTTGCTAGTGAAGTTTCTCTCTGCAAATTTTCTGGGCCGACAAACAAATCAGTTTGGGTCTAAAGCAAGCAGATGAGAAGTTTGGTCTTTACCGAACCAAGAGAAACGGAAGAAGAACAAATTCTTAATGGTTCAATGTATTGAATATTGATTTCTCTGATAACCAACTATTGTCATTGATATATTTCTGTTTTCTTTAGGAAAAAAAGCAGAAACTGGTTTGGGGGTGATCTCTGTCAGTTATACAAAATACAAAACAAATGTCTGGATAAAAAGTGTAAAATCTGGTAGACCAGCATTGGAAACGTACTGGGTTCATACAGGATTCTGGACAGGCTCTCCTGTTCTCGAGTCTCAAGTCAAGTTCACACCAGCCAGTGTAGGACCAAAGCAACAAAAATCTTCAAGAATCGATCCCACACCAATAACTCTCTGTTTTGCCTGCTGAATTCAGGCAATCAGCCTTATGACCAGAACTGAAAAGTCAAAGAGCTTTTTCCCCCAGGTGCTAAGGCTCCTAAACCGATCTCAGTGCCCTTGGGTCTACAGCTGAATATATTTCATATATTTTTTTATTTTATTTTGTTATTTTTTATATATTTTATTATTCTCACTGTGCACAGCTGCTCGGAGTGACCAGGGTCACATTCCACTATATGTTGTATGTGTACAACTGTGTACGTGACGAATAAACCTCTTGATTCTTGAATCTTGAAGTTGTGAGTCATGTTACTTGAGTCCCAACCTATGTCAGTTTTTTTTTACCTTTAATGAGTAAAACTTGCAGCAAAAACCCGCCATAGTAACTCACAGGACACCTGTATAGGCAGAGATAGGTTGAAAAGAGGAGACCTTGCATTCAGCCAAATGAAAACGCAGACAGCAGATAATTAATATACATTGAAATTATAAAATTAACATTATGGTATCCAAAGGGGGCAACTATAACCTCAAATCTTCTGAAGTCATATGGTCCAAGTCAGGTCCAAGTCTTGAGTCATTTGCCCTCAGGTCCAAGTCATTCCAAGAGTTTTCCAGAACCGAGGCACAGGTCTGTGACTCAAGTCCCCACCTCTGGGCACCAGATAAATGGCTGTCTCAGTGCTTAGACCTCCAAGCTTCATGCTCACCTGTGTGTGGGTGTCTCAGAGGAGAGCAAGATGGGATATGTGCATAAACCATTCTGGTGTACTTGTGCAAATGGCAAATACAGCATCATTTTATTTTCATCACGAATAGAAATGAGCTCAACAGCACCTGATGCATGTCCAGGTACCATATGACATTTAGTCTTGCTTCTCCATTCCTCTTTAGAGCTCTATATAATCATCTCCCCCAGTGTAGGGAGGGATTGTCACTCATTTACACGCCTGGTTACCACCCTCTACAAATTGTCTTATTATGTCAGTAAAGAAACCTACAACAATGAAATTACAGTGTATGATATCCTAAAACAGACAGCTAAAAGAGCACACAGCCTACGTGCAGAGCAGCACACATCATGCAGATTGTGTCTGCTGTGGGTTTCAACCACCCTGGCAGGCTCTGCGTTATGGGTAACCACAGTCGGATATGCTAACGCACACACAAGGTCACGTAAACTCCTGCTTGTGTGAACGTGCATGACCCTAACCACATGAAAAGGGTTAATGGTGCCAATGAGGTTCCATAGATCCTCCAGTATGTGCATGAGCCTGGTATTGAATGGTGTGATTTTGCATCTCATCTAAGGAATAAGTAGATTAATAGTTGAATGTACTTGAATTTTCAGTTCCAGTAAATCAGCTATGGACTCGCATATTCCTGCTTTATATGTTTGTGGCTCGTTTTAGAATCGGTAGGTCTCCCTCCATAAATCCCCCAGTACTTGTTGGCGTGAGTGCGGGTGTGAACGAGTGAGTCTTTGTGTGCTCGCATGTGGCTGTACCCTTGCGTTGGCTGTGGAGGTCGCACTTAAAATAGCAGCCTGTTTCCTGAGTGGCGCGTGATCGGCAGAGGTACAGCTCATTGCCCTGGAAGCACGCTGCAGCCGCTGCATGTCTGGCCCATGTCGGCCTTGTAGAACACGCTCAAGCTGAGCTGCTCCCACACAGACGTGGCTCAGATCACCTTGATGTGATTCCCATTACCTTAAATGTACATCATCCCTCACTAACATGATTAGCCATCTGGGTGTGACTGACCTCCTCAGCCTCCGCATGGAGCTCCGTTTTAGAGGACAGCAGCAAACACGCAGCACATTCACGGTGCATGGATGCACACTCACGGTGCATGGACCATCCTGTGGATCTGTGGCCTGTATTTCCTCTTCTGCGCAACAGCTGAGGAATATCTGTGTTACACGAAAAACAATGAAGTAGTAGATGCCAGGCTAGTCTGAATACAAGATGTTTTTTTTTTCTCAAAATACATCTGAAAAAGTGGGTGTCGGCTTATATTTGGGGTCTAGACAAAAAAGGGAATAGATGGCAACAAATACGATATTTTGTAACCAGTGTTTGACTTACCGTAATATACATTTGCCATAAGATTAAAGGTAAGATTTGGAATTTCAAAAACTTTTTTTTCTAAAATTGGTCGCTAAAAAGTCTGGGGTCATCTTATATTCGGGCCAATAAGGTACTTTGACCGATGGGACACTTACATGCTTAAATGGTGACTGATTTTAATGTGTCAGCTCTTTGCATAGCCATAGTGGGAGGTACTGTAGCTTTCTAAAATGTCACTCAGCCTAATGGAGGTGTCCTCTGTTTGGTCAAACATCAGCTATTTGGTCAAAGATCAACATTGTGTGGCCCCATCACTGCTAAGACTGTTAAATTTCCAAAGGCACTGATTAATAAAAGGGGGCAGAAACTGAAAGAGGCAGGACGACAATCCTTTTATAGATACGAGTGCTACATGTCATTTTTGTTTTATTCTGTGCTCTAACACCACATTGAATACCAGTGTTTGGTGACCTGCAGACCTTAACAGCCCAAGGAATCAATATATCTCATTAAAGACCTGCAGCCTCATCATCAGTAGCTATAATTCCCTCTTCTTCTATATCCTTTTCATCACTGGAGTCCTATTTCTTCTCCTGCCTGTACATCAAGCTGCAGTTCTGGGTGGTCCTGTTACTTGTCAAAAATACTGGACTCTGGCAGAAGCTGAAAGGCCCACCTTTTGCAGGAAT